GTGGTACAGCGCCGGCCCCTGCCGTGCCGACATTTCCAGCCACTCTTCACCCCCTTTTCCACCAAAAACATTCAAAACCAGCTTTGTTTTTTTCTTTTTATGATGGTGTCCAATACCTAAACCTGTTCAAGATTAAATCCTTAAAGCAGTTGACTTAACAGAAGGAACCAGAGGAATTAACATTTTAATTATAATGAAGCCCAAGAGAGGAGAACATAAACTTGCACCTGGGAGGCGTAACACACCAGAGCAAGGCCGGCCATGGCGGAGGAAGGGGTAAAGAGGACAGAGCAGGGCTTTGCCCTGGCGTCCAGTGAAGGGACGAGGGAAGGGCCCGATGCCCTGGGAGGTGACAGCACTCCTTTCGGTCCGAGCAAGGACAGCCCGAGCCCCCGCACAGGTCCCAGCCAGGGGCTCGCTGCTGCTAACACAGCCCAGATTGACAGGCTGGCAGGAAAGCGTCTGTAAGAGTTGTGGTACTTGGGAAAGGTAAAAGTACAGCGTTTTCCTGAAGATGAGACAGGTCAGAAATGATCCTGGCTTTGAAGGTGTCTAAAGAGGGAACTGAATTACTCTCCTTAGTTAATGACTGACTCTTCCTGACCGAGGCTGGTGGAAGGCAGGAGGGAGTAGCGCCAATGCTCATTTGGCAAGCCTCTCAGACAATTAAAAACAAAAGTCACATACACTAGTTCTGTATGCGTCTGACAAAAGAATGGTGGCTGTAGATAAAGCAAAAGGACATGTTTATGTCCTACTGCATACTCAGATAAAGCACCAAACTGTTCTGCCCTGTGTTGCAGCCACAAAGCAGCCTCCACGGTTCAGTTCTTGATCAGATGGAACACTGCTTCTTCACCCCCAACCCTCTTAACCCCCTTTTTTTCCAAATTGCTGTTGAATAGCACTAGCCATAGGTATCGGCATCTACCTGTGCCTCCCTCCCTTAAGCGTGAGCTACCCAGCCACAAGAGAACATACACCAGAGAATCTGTAAACATTGATGGTAACTGGGTAGAAGAATCAATTTAATTTCATAATTATGAAACCAAAGTGTTGTACAGTTTAATTAACTGGTACTTCCTGTAAAATACCTTCTTTACTACAGCAAAATAGGTAGTTCACATGCAAAGAAGCAGTTTACAACTTTTAGCAATGAGCTGCAAAGTCCTCATTTTGAGTAATACTGAAATAGTAGCGGGCTGTTGGGAAAAAAAAAAAAAAAGGGCAATTTCTGATACTATGACTGCCACCAAAGCACAGCAGCCTGTAGTCCGATTCATTTTAAGATAGTATTTCAATTAAATTCTCTGGTTCACAAGTAACTTGATCAGATACTATTTCACAACTTTCTGCATAACTGGGGTCCCTCACTCTATCTTATCCCAGCCTCACCTGTGGGACCAGAGCATCTCTCTACCACAGCAATGCCGTCTGACCTACAGACAGGTCATTTGCCTAATAAAATACTGACAAGGTCTTAAAGTAGTTGAGTTACTCAAACTCTAGAATGCAAGTTCCCGCAAGAGCTGCTCCCAGCGTTATTGCTACTCAGGCTATACTATGGCTAGGAGCAAACCACTCCTGCTTGCTAACTTTTCGATGGGGTATGGAAATCCCTTTTACCTGCTTCACAGGGGATTCCAGGATTTGTTTGTTGAAAACACTCCTACTTTAGTGACTTGATAACAAGATGGCACATGAATAAGAGATACTTTAGTACAAATGCACCAGCAAGTCTTTAAGTACTTAATCACTACAACGATCTTTCTGCAAAGAAAAAGACATTGTTACCTAGACTTGCACTTGAATGGCTAAGAATTGTGTCTCCCTAACACAGAGAATGCAGAAGCGGTCACAATTATATTCACATTAATCATTAACAGCATAACAAAACCCAGTGACGAGATTTTTAGGAACTCATTAACAAGGGCATAATGTACACACTTTTATTTAAACATGGCAATTTACACAATAGCTAAAAGTTTACTTCCCCCCTCCCCTTCAGGAAAACCTGTGTACCTGGATATCAGAATTAGCACCTAGTGTTTATAAATAAAATGAAGACCTTGCAGTATTATTTACTGCAAGCACTGGTCAGAACTTAAGCAATTTGGGCGCAGTGATACATGGATACATTAAATAATTTGTGATCATCCAATTAGCTCAGTGCTTCACCTCAGCAGTGGAGTTTTGGGTAACCGGTTATCTCTGAAACACTAGGAATGCATAGTTCATACGGCTAAATACGTCTGACAAAAAGGGACAAATCACAGTTGTGGTCTGAAATTATTGCAATGCAAATTTAAAATAGCAGTATTTTTAAAGCAGTGGAACATAATAAAGAGGTAGGTACTTTCCTCCTTGATGGTAAGAACTTAACATTGCTTCAGAGTAGTCCAAACTAAGTATTTATGTCAGATATCTCAGGTACACAAACAAGTCGTGGCAGACTGGATTAACTGGAAAATATTTAAAATGATATATAAAATGTTTCACTGGCATAAAAAAGATATATTGCAAGAGGTTACTTTTTGCGGAGTGAACTATTATTCCTCACTTGAAATACACCCATCTAAACTTTTAGTGGCATGAAGCCATATTTATTACCTTGATGTTCAATACTTTAGCAAGGTAACGCCCTTTGCTAAGGGGGGGTCACTAAAGATCAGAAGACTGATGTTTTTGTGAAAATAAAGTGCACTTTTCTGCTCCGAACAACGGCTCATGCTTCTTCCAAAAAGCAGCCTCTAATTATATGAACTTATTTATCTGCCTACCAGGATTGTCAAAAAAGCAATCAAGACCTCAACCACTGATGGAAATTACCAGGCAATGCCAGAAAAGCCACTTTTTGGTGCAACTCTTGCACTATCTCCTCCCTGCCCCCTTTTTGTTCCACATTATGCCATTTTTAATAAAGATACTTCCCTCCTTTCTGAAGTTCGACTCAACATTCTGTTCAAAAGTAGTAATATCAGCACTTGCGTGCGCCACTGAAGACTATCAGGTGTACTGACAGAGCAGAAGGAGTGTTTACATGAAGAAATGTTGTATTTTAAATAACACTTTTTTTTTTTTTTTTACAGACCAGATTGAGATGAGTGTCAGGTTTTCAGATCATTACAACAATATCCTCTCTGACTGCAATTCACCAGTTACACCATCTAGCTTACTGAAACATTAACAGTATACTTGCCTTTATACTGCGACATGATTTAACTGAAAGGTGCTAAAATGAACACTGTTATATCATTTTCACTCGTACACAAGATGTCATGCACAGTTGAGACATTAGATTTTAAATCTATTTACAATTTTACATATTTTACAATATATATCTCATCTTTACAGCTACAGAATAAAGTCAGACTAACATTGGTACCTTTTGAGTTTCTGCTGGAACTTGAATTCTTAAACTAATTATTAAAAACAAGTAAGTGCATGCCTACAAGAAAGCTTTCAGGAAAGATGTCAACAGACTAGTGTTGCTTAAAAATTACACCGGTTTGTGTAGAAAATTTAAATTCAGTTCAAAAAACCCACAAAAGCCTAATAGAAATCTACTTGACTAAAATAAATACAATTCATTACACTTAAACAAACAAAAAAAGTACCTTTAAAAATGTACTAATTTAAGCTCATCTGATTTTTTAGCCGTAAATTTACTTCCCTTCCCAACTAGGGGATAGTACTAGGTGAGGATAATGATGCTTTTCAAAGTTAACACTGATAATTATCCTGCATAAACCTGAGGCTGCAGTGGTGGGGGCAGCTTGTCATTCTCCATATTTTCAGAGTCAATAGCTGCTAAGGCTTGATTTTTTGGTTTTATTTCTAATGGATACTTCTCAACAATATCTTGGACTTCCTTTGTAATTCCATCAGTCCAATCTATTAGGTCTTTCTCAAGCTTCTTGGCTTCATTGACAATTCTTTCCTGTCTCTCATTCAACTGAGATAGTAGGTCTAAGTTTTTATACATTTGCTTAACACCCAGGCACACATCAGGTGAAAAACTGTCAGATTCTTGCTTCTTCGGGGATGTCTGACCAGTCATAAAGCGATCAAAATCTTCTTGGCTTAGATTTAAAGACTGAGCATCCAGTTTTTCAATGAAGGCCACAGCACAGCACTACAAACAAAACAGAAAGTGAGAATCATTGCAAGCTACAGATTGGAACTTATGTGTTCTATGTTTTAACCCTGCTGTTAGACCAGTAACTGATTATTTTATTTAATGCCTCAACAGATTGCTCCTAAAGAGCTTTTCGAGAAGCTAACTGTATCGGACAGTTCACATGCCTCTTTCTTCTCCCCAAAGTCTGAAGAAGTCAAAAACTCAGAGATGAGAAGCTAACTGTATCAGACAGTTCACATGCCTCTTTCTTCTTCCCAAAGTCTGAAGAAGTCAAAAACTCAGAGAATAATACAGGAAGACACTGCTTTACCTGAACAGTACTGACTCATGGGATAATGGACATTACAAACCTCAGGGTCACTGCATTTTGGAGGTGAAAGAACAGAAGATGACAGCTAGACAAGAGCACTAGACTAATGTTTAATAATCTGATCAGCAGAGATCTGCTATGCTCTCTACTAATTTTTCTGAAGGAAGGAATGTCAAACGCCCATTTTACCTTGTGGATGCTCTCCTCCCACTGAAAGGAATTTTTAACGTTCCAAGTATTTCTTCAACTACATATTTTTGAGAATTGCTTTATGAGAAAATGCAGAGAAGCCAAATTCATTAATATAAACAAGTGCACAAATAAATGCCTCCTCCAGAAGCTTTAAAAAGCCTGTTTACCTCCACACATTAATGGCTTAGTTCTGCAGCCCCTTCAAGATATGAACTCTCATGAGCTTAAATGTGGAACTTTGCATCTCTAACATCTGCACAGTCCAAACTCAGGATTTTAGTAATAGAAAATACTTACTGCCTTACAGAATAAAAATATAGCCAAGTCTTACTATCAGACTGTTCAAATAAAGAGTTTAATTACAAGAAAACAAAGCACTGTCTGGTTTGGAAAGCAGAGAAGAAGGGAGGGGAGATAGAAAGCAAAAGAGCTTCCTGCACTCTAAGTAACTTCAACTACTACTTGAAGATTAGTTTTAATTTTCCTTCTATGTTATGCTGTGTATTACTGGAAATTCCTCCATCCAAATCAAAGACAATCTTGTGGTACAAGATGTCAATGCTACTCCTGCACTTACCAGATTCGTAAAATAGTAGCCATCTTCTCCTGTCATTAACCTGCTTGGATTACAGAAGCGTGTTATATACTGGATGTTAGACTGCAGGCGGGGTGGGTTTCCCTTCAAAACAATGTATATAAGTGTTGGAAGAAAGTCATCAGCAGAAGCTGGTTCATTTTTTGTGATTTTAATAGCATTAAATATATGCTTGCTGCATTTGGTGATGCATGCTAATTTATCACGCGGGACACGCTTTGAATCCATTTCAATAATATCTGTAAGATAAAAAAAGTTCTCAAATCATTAAAACCGTATTAATCAGACACCTGAATGAGTAGGACACTTAATGGACAATACTAAAATTGCATCATTTTTATGTGTGGTGCTTGTTGTTCCATAGAATTATCTGTTTATTTAACCTTCTCGTGGTTCAGTCCAAGCATTTCAAATAGGTCAGGTAAGCCCTCGTCACTTCTGTGATAGCAACATTATTCCCACTTCACAGATGATAGTCCAATACCACAAAGACTACCACAAATCTAAAAGCCTGGACTCCCTTCTGATGACAGCAGAAAATAATTTCTATGAACAAGAGCTATGAAATTTTAAGCTGTAAATGTAAACTTCATTGTTCACAAACCTGTAATTGCTTTTACAACCATATCAGAGACTTCTGGAATTTCTTCATTGACGGGAACACAAAGCATTTGTGGAGTTACCCAGTGCAAAGCCCTGTGACAAGAAAAAATGTTACACTATTCTGTGCCAGTAATGCTCAGGTGTTTGAAACCAGCTGCTTCTTTAATTCAATGCACAAGGAGTGCTTTGTGTAAATGAGGCACTAGTCCAGTTATAAGCTAGTTTGTTCCACTGAAGTAATTTATTTCCAGAAAAAATATTTTCTTTTTTTGCTATCATTTAACAAAAGCACACCAATTAGTTTTCCTACCATAGCAGCTTTCATTATTCATTCTATTCATTCCTTCTCTGTTTCTTAAAGTATTTTTAACTCTTCCTGGTTAAAAAGCTTGCTATTTTTGAATGTACAGCAGAATATTTTTAATGTGCTTGATTCAGAGCTCATTCACAGGACTGTAGATTATTCAACTATTTCTCTTTCAAAGACTTACCTGATTCTCTTCTGGACAGCAAGATCTTTCTTCTCATCATCAGTCGTTTCAGGGCAAAAGACATATTTATACTGCCGAGTCATAATGTATTTTTCAATCTGATCCATTGCTTTCTCAACTTTTTCAGGGGGCACTGAAAGGTAAATAAAGTATTCCACAGCTGTTTTGAAGATTTAACAGAGTTTGGTCATAATATCACCAAATCAGGACTACTGAGCTGAGCCAACTCGAGTTAATAAAGAACTGATATACTTGGAGCATTTTCACTCTGTACAGCAGAGTAAAAATATACTGGTGAGAACACCATAGTGACATGCCAAAGTACATCCACAGGTTCACAATGAGGCACATTCAACACACAAATTAAGTTCAGCTGTTTGTAGCTAACAAGAATATTTCTTGAAAATACAGTCTTGGAAGACCTCACTGGATTTATTCTCAAAATCCTCTGTTCCTGTTTATGTCTCTAAAAAAGTCCCTGGGTACGTCTAAGCTGTGCCACTTGCATACCAGGCACATAAAAGCAGTCTGCAACAGGAACACTCCCCTCTCCCTGGCTTCTTGTGCATTACAGTGCAACGTAAGGCTCAGAGCCTGTTAATTGGGTTGAGGCTACACATTAAACCTCAGTTTTAAACAAACGGTATTGAATTTAAAACAAGAAATGAAAACAACTGAACCACATTTAATTGAGAGTTTAAGAAAAAACTTGTAAAAACAATGAATTTAGACTGCAAAACTTTATAGAACTGGTGCTGCTGGGAATAGTTTTAACTATGGTACCAGAATTTGTTAACAGCATTTCTGAAAGCTAGTAAGGAATGCCTCATTTTTACTTGAAAATGCAAGAGGCTTTATCCTCAAAATGTTACTTTTTCAGCAGTGAGATATAAGGAAGAGGAACATGATACCTTTCCAACGTGTCTGTAATTTCTCTGCTACATTTTGATAGAAGTCCTGGGCACATTCAGATTGCTCCTCAATACTTAAGTCCTGTAACAGAAAACTGAGTAAGTGTGCATGTGTGGAAGAAATGGCAGCGAGGCCTCTGATGTTCTGTTTTTGTTTAAGGAAAGTGTCCAGCTGCAGTAACAGTCTGAGAATGCAAATATATCAGAGGTGTTTATGTTGGCTAAACTATATTTAAAAATACGAGAAACCAAGACATACTGGCTCCTTAACATGTGAACACTGAACAGATGTATATTAGCAACGGAATGGGACAGGTGTAATGATATTTCCCCCAGACACATCCCTGAGCAATGGTGCCAAATAATATAGACTATGAAGCAGAATGCTTGCTCCCAATTTTGTCTCTATAACTTTTTAAAAGATGACAGTATACCAAAAAAACCCAAGAACATATGTTATAGATTTGAAAGAATATCTACACAGTAAACACTTCTAATGATTAAAGCTACTATGAAATATATTCACAATGTTATTTGTGAAACAACATTGTCTTTTGGGCATTAACTAACTGAGCTACTGAAGAACATATCAGAGGTTTGAAGGGTTATAATTAACTTTACTGATGTCACTTTTCACCATTAAATGGCAGCATAAAACCATATATATATATTAAAAAAAATAAATTGAAAGAGAACTTAGTTTCTGAATTCTCTAAGGCCAAAAACTAGACAGTTACTCTGAACACAAAGTCTCAGCTCTGGTGGCAGTGCTGCATTTTAGGCCTGGTTTACGTGTAGTAGCAAACTGTATGTTTTGAGAAAGACTTCTTTTTGACTAGCACAAACTATCAAGGAACCAGGAGAGTAGCTTTCATGATTATAATCAATAATAATAATACACTATTCTCACAAACTATGCTCAGAATGAATCAGTTCTAAAAGAAAAAAAAACCTTCAAGATGTTTTCAAAGTGCCTTGAGGGCATGTAAGATTCCATCAAAACTCCCTTTAATTTCCAGTCCAATTTGAAGACAAAATTTGAGTAACTACATGCTAAATAGGAAAGGTAAGGGAAGGGAAAAAAAAAAAAAAAAAAAGAGGAGGTTGTGAATACTGACTCATTTCAACCATAGGTGGCACTACAAACACATTAATATTTCAGGAACATTAAATATTTTATACTGACAATGAAGATGTAACCCTTATTCCATATTAAAAAAAAAGCACAGTCAAGTTCCCCTTCCACACAGAAAAGGGGACCTGTGGGTTGATACTGTATTATCTTTACAACTTTTTAGACTTAAGATATCTGAAAACTCATTATGTAATATATTATAATTTTTACAAGTCATTTATCTAGAAAATTGTTTGTTCAGACATTTTTATCTTTCAGAATTAATTTATTCAGGATGCAAAGGAAAGTTCTCTCGAGACACCTGAGACACTGTGGTTTGAGGGTTTCTTTGGTCATATACCATACCAAAAAGGAAAGCATTCAGAATTTAAGACTGCCACTGGATCTTCATCTGACTCAGCATATCAACTGAAGACTCCTGTATACAATATATAAAACCCAAACTGCTGGAAGAAGTGTAGCATTTTCCCCATTTCTCCCTAATTTGCCCATTTTATTTATATAAATAAGGCATGCAAAACTTACCCTTTTATGATTCATTGTGTCCAAAAATAGTTTACATTGCTTATAGATATCTTGTCCAGGTTTATGATATGTCTTGAGAAATTCTATGAATTCCTTGGATACTCGATCTGTCTCGATGCTAGCTTGCCTGTTTATAGAAGGGCTGGGAGCCTTGGCTTCTTGGATCTCTGCTGGGAAAATGCGGGCACATCAGATTAGCTTTTTTATACTGATGGATGAATTCAGGAAACATTTAATGTGTATTAAAATTTCAGTTGTTTTTTTCAACTGTGCAGATGAATAAGGATTTATTTCTCAAGCTTGACCAGTGAAATGCTGGATATTATTAAACAGAACTCTAGGAAACTGAGTATTCCACTGAAGTGAAACATTCATAGCCACATACCCATTTACACTAATGGCTTTTTTTACATTAGCAGATTACTGTAACATGAGTTTGCTTTTGGGTTTCTTACATTTTCATTCCCAGGTAAGATCAAGGCTTCCAGATGGGACCGTGCAGCAGTTTAAGATAATGGAGAGGTCCCTTTCCCATTCTCCCTCGCCTTTACTTGCACCAACACAAGTATTCATTCAACTGGCTTGTGAACTAGCTCAGGGAATAGTAGTTCAGGGCAGTCCTAGTCAGCAATCAGTGTTTCTTATGGCGTTATTTTTCAGCTGGATCAGCTCCTCAAGCTGGCTTCCTACCAGGTCCCAGGAGCAGCAGCAGCAGCACAAGACAAGGAAGGGGAGCGTGAGGTTGGTGCAAATGCAGCTGGGCAGCAGATGCCACAGAAGCACACCTGCAGTGTAAATGAGAACTTGGCCATTTCTGTTTCAGCAAGAGGAAAAGCACTGCATCTCTTCAAGGAAGAATGTGTTTGGCACTCAAGAAGGAGCTGGGAACACAGACTGCACACAGCACTGGATTCAAGTTCATATAGCTGCAACCACAGGGTTTTTCCACACAAACACATCTGATTTCCCAAGGTATATGTTGCAAGTTAATTGTACTGATCCAATACCTTCGCTACCCAAGTTTAGTTCACCCACCTTTCAACTTGCCAGCCAACACTGTTCAAAATGAAGGATTGAATAGAGATGATGTAAATGAGCATGATGAAAAGTAAGCAGCAAAGAGACAGAAAACATGAAAATATCCATGATCAACATGATACAAACATATCTTTCAGTCTGAAAATACTAACATGCACAACAAAAAATTCTTCTTTCAATAAGCATACGTGCAGAACTCCAAAATGAAAGGAAATAAATGGGATTAGTATATTTAAATTGGTATGTTTAATTTGAACTTGAAGTAGCTTTGGTTGTTTTTGTTGCTTTTAAAGTGATCCAGCACTACAGTAAATTCAAAGCTGTATGATCCAGTGACTAACAAACACTGATCATCTGACCAAAGCACAAGACTCATTAGGACCTCTACACTTCAGCATAACCTTCTCTGGACAATTTGGTCAGGTACTGTTAGAACACTTATGGTATTTAAAGATAAGAATGGAAAAGGTTTTACAAATATTAACATTCCAACTGTAGCAATCAAGATAGAAAGTGCAAATCAATCTCCTTTCTAGTTACACAAGAACAGTTTTTCCAGAGGGGATTTCCTCCAACATTCTTTATACCTAAGATTCAAAATAGAATGTCTGTATAGTATTCAAGCTGAACGGCAACCATCACTATATGTTGATCTAAATTTGTCACATTTAATGTTATATAACCAGTGAGAACACAGTTTTGAAACAATAAACAAAGAAAGCAGGTACACTTTCGAAAGGGTAGAATTCTAAGATTTTTTTTTTCCCCCACAATTAATTACTGACTTCATTCCAAAGAACAGCTGAAGATTTATTTACTCATTTCAACATTGAGTTCACTGTATTATAAAAATAATGAACCTCATTCCGGTACCTGACCTTAAGGAATATGAATATGACTCAGTCACAAATTTAAAATATATTATTTTTTAGTTACTATAGAGATACAGTCAACTGAGGCAGATTACTGTTAATGTAGGCATTAAAAAAATTGAATGTTAGAATAAACTATCTTTTTAACGACACACATCAAGAACTACAGGTAGTCAACTCAGAAATGTTGCAACTTCATTGATTGTGTTGAAATCGTGATTTAAGGAACATGAATCTGTACAATATGCACTGATTACTAAGGACTGCAGGAACAAATGTACTTTCAGCAACAAAATATTTTCAGCTTTGCTGTGTACTCTAAAAGAATTAATTCTAACTAAAAAGAAGCTGTTTACAGAAAAGAAATTCCATCTGAACGAGTTAAAGAGAACCTAGCAGAGGAGATATGCCAAAATGAAAAGAAAGAGTATGGGAAGAGTTAAGGATCACCTTTACAAAGAATAAACAATATATTAAAATCTTTCTCAAGACATTCTACAAAAATGCTAGTTGTCACAGCAGAACTTTAGCACTCCAGTGATTCACTATGGTTGTGCCATGGTCACGGATCTGAGCCCAAGTAAAGAATATTAAAAAAAGCATTGTCATTAGCTCTACTACACACACCCATTCATCTTCATAGAATTTGCAAAATAAAAAGTTCTTCAAATTTCTTTAGTCAGCAGAACACATTGGAACTGCAAACAAATAACATAGGACAAGATCCTAAAGCTGTTCACATCAAGGGTTTTGCCGTCCTTTTGGTTTAAATGAAATCAGCATGTCTTCTCTTGATAGGAAATTGTCATCTTGATTAATAACAAACATCTGGAGATGTTTTGAGACTGCAAAAGTTCTTGAAGTGGAACTATTAAATTGAAGTAGTTTCAACTTATAATCAGATTTATAATGGCAACCTGCAATTTTATTTTGATAAAAATACGAAGCAGCACAAGATCTAGCTACTTCTTATAAAATTCTTATTTTTTTGAAACTGCATAATCCTTCAGATGTCATGCTGAGGTAGAGCTCAAAGAAGCTTCAGCTTTATTCCTATATCCTCCCTACCAACAAGCAAAGAATTGGTTGAGAGATTCAAGTTCAAGATGCTAGACTTGCTCTTTTTGAGTCATCTTCTCATTCAACAACATGAGTTATAACTGGCACAACCCTAGTTTGTATTTTGCAAAGCCCAAGTAGTAAGCTTACTAAAAATCAAGCAGACAGCTTAATCAAGCTGTACCGCATTACCTTCAGTAGGGGAAGCCAGTTCCCAGGAGGGAGTAAAAATCTCCTTCAAATCCCTGAGAATGTTATCAGCATTTCGCTCCCTCCCAAGCTGTCCTTGCTTAATGATTTTCTCTTGAGCCACTGAAATAAATGCAAAAGCAAGCAAGACACCAAGAGCGGGAGCACGTTAGGAGAGATGGTGAAGGGGATAAAAAAAGAAAACATGGAAGGTGAGAAGAATGAACGTAAAAAAGTTTTTAATACATAGCTGAATGCCTCATTTAGCCAGCTGCTGCCCATGCGCTAAGAGAAATTCTAAGATGAAATCCAGACATATTTAGAATTTCTTATTAAGGAAATGCATCATCTATAAGGCTAAGATACATTAATGTTGCTTTTTCTTCTGGAATGCCTCCTCCACAGTCTAGCATTTTCTGGTTTTTGCCCATGTAAGCTATTGCTATGCAAAGGCACCAGTGCCATTAATCATTCTTACTTGTAACACATGCTGTAGAATAAACATTCAGCCAACCACAAACTTGATATTCACAACCCACATATGCAGAAACACTACAAGTTTCCTTTCACATTTATTTTCATCTAAAGGCACCCTGCTTACACATTCCAATTTTCCTGTTAAGGCTGTTGAAGTGATCCATTATGGCAGTATGACCTGATATTTTATATCAGCATTTCTATCACACTTCGGCATATCAGTTTGTTTGAGCTGACTGACAGTCTGTGCCTTTTCTCTTGCTTTCTTCAGGAAGAGTGCCCCTTCAAGTCCTAAACCACAGTATCACACTCATGAATCTAGCAAGAATTTCTGCCATACGAATAAGATATTTCCACTCAGCAGTACAGTGGTAGACCACCACCAGGAATACATTTGTGCTACACTTTAGTGGAAGAACTCCTGTACAACTGACACAAATGGCCACATGTTCAGACTGACATCACCCAAAAGCTCGTGTTTTTCTGTGTTTTTAGTAAGACTTCACATATCACTCTCCAGAAGCATCATTATTCCAACTTTTTAAAGTCACAGAGCACTACTCTGCTTTTTAGCACAACACATCTATCTATCAAAAATACTTTGTAACTGAAGTTGAACAGAACCATTAAAAGCAAAGGAGAGAGTTACCCTTCTTAGCTCCTGTTCTGGAAGAAGCAGTGAAGAACTTCTTCACAGTAGTGACCTTTCGTGTTTTCTCATTGGTTTTCTTTTCTTCAAATTTTGAAAAGGTCAGTGACTGCGCCCCTTGGGTACTCTGACTACTGGCATATGCTTCCTCCTCCTCTCGCTGAAGCCTGGAATTAGAAAAATGTAGGTCTAATTTAAGTGCTTAAAACCAGCACAAATAAGCTAATTTCCTGTGCAATAAATTAATTACTCATTTGACGTGCTAATTCTCCTCTATACCCATCTTCATTTCTTGCTTCCTACCACATCTCCCTTTGCTACATTATGTTCACTCCTTCCATGTTGCAATGGTGAAAGTGAGGGAAAGTTTAAGATGGCCAGGGAGGACTAAATAGTAAGGTCAAAAGGGAGGAGACTGAAGTATAATCATGTCACAGCCCTGAATTCTACAAAGGCAGAGGTGAGGGGAAAGATTGAGGGAGGACTTCCAATAATTGACTCAGTTGCTGTCCTCTCTGCATCGTGTTCCGAGTTTCACAACCTATTACCACAGGCAATCCTTTACCATCTTACTAAAGATAAAAACTATGGCTCACAGCTGAGCAAGTGAAATACCCTGTCACAATCTCAGAAATATTCTGGGAAATAGATCATTGCTGTCATACTTTGTTTTTGAAGTCTTGGTAATACATATGCTTGCTTGAATGAATGAGGCAAACCACTTCACTGCAACACTAACGGGTGCTTTGCAAAGACCAAGCCCATCTTTTAATCGACGTGTACAAAGTAGAGGATGACAAACATACTAATCCTTCAATGGCTACTTTTTTTCCTGTGCAGAAAGATTAAAATAGATTACATTATATTGCCCTTCAAGATGCTAAAAGGTTGAGCAATTTTCTCTAAACATCCATCCAGCTCAGAATGGACCATAAACGGTCTTGCATTTGTAATCTCTTGAGGCAGGAATTGTGTCTTATCTGTGCTGACAAGCCTGTCTGTTCATTACAGCAAACAATGACAGCTTATCTGTTCCTTTAGCATCTCCCTACTGAACAGTTACTTATTAAAGAATTCCTTAAATGCCCTGTTTTATTGTACATAGATGTCCTAAGACTGACAGCATAACTATCTGCTCTAGTAATACTGAAGTCCTTATTAACTGTTTAAGCCAAATTTATGGCAGAGGAAAAAATGACATGTCCTCTGTACTGTACTCAACAGCTTACCGATTTGGCTAGAGAAAGTTTCAAGTACTTTCTACCTGCCTTTGTGGTTAATCTGTTCCAGTGCCAGACAGTAAAGAGAACTTTTAAAACAAACAACTCGGGCCTAAGGTAACAGAGCCTAGAATAGTTAGATATCAGAAAACTTGGAGTTTCCAAACCATAACACAACTCAAGTTCAGAGAGCTTCCACAGACGTCACTTTCTTCAGGCAGGCTGATGTGAACACAGCACTTGATGTCTTTTTTTCTTTGGAGTTGTTTGTTTTTTCTTCTCCCTCCCCCCCCCAAGAACTTGGTTAATGCATCACTAGGTAACTCAAGTCTACTGAAGGGTTTCAGACTTGAGCGCAGACACATATATACTGTGTCTCAGTCATTTGCACTTTTTCCTAGAGTTCTGTCATACTGTACTAATACATTAAGGTAAGGGTAAGTGGAGAATCTGTATCAATATGAACAAACATCTTGGCCAGCTCAAGTCAACGGCCAATCAACTCTTAATACACAGCTAGATGGTCCTCCATCTCAAGAATCCACGTAACCCTGAAACAGTTAATTCTGGGTGGATATCATGTAACTCACACCTGGAAGTGACACAAAGGACAGTGTAGTACAACAGAGGATGCTTTGCAGTTTTTCAGGCAGTGGATAATGCTTTTGCTTTCTACCCAAATCTAACAAAAAGCAGCTGTAGCTGCTCTATTTTCTCACTGAAGCATAGATTTCCTCCAATACCCATTTTCAGAGTCAAGCATTTATCACACTAGGAAAACTAGACTGTTTTGCAGAAAAAACATGCTTAGAAAAATTACCTAAATTATTAAAGCTAAAGCTTTGATGCATTTGGACTTAACGCCACAGTTTAAAAGAATGACGACAGACCCAATTTTTTTAACCAGTAGCTGCAATGTAAAACCATTGTGCTGGCTATATTCAAGACAATAACTGCGGTCTCCAGAGGCAGAGGTATTTTAATAAAAATTGTCGCTTTCACCCTTCTAACTGCTAGTTAGAATTACAGATTTCAGTATGCAAATTAGGTCAAAGTAGTTGTTGAGAGGTTGGGGGGGTGTTTACATTTGTTACTTCACAGACTTTCTTTTGAAACCTCTTAAATTAGAATGTCATGAATATTCATCTTTGCATCAAAAAGACGATTCTAATTCCTGAAATTTGAGAATTTATGATGCAACTGAGCCCGAGCAAATAGGAATAGAAAATAGGAGACAGGAATAGTATTTAGTGAAGTCACCCTACTGTAAAAGATGAAAGAATAAAGAGAACTCTTTACCGCTCTGCCAGCTCCCAATCCTCTTGAATCTGTTTCTGCCTGGCCTTATGGTATTCCTCTCTCCAGCACTTGGAGCAAAATCCCTGCCAAGCAGGATTGCCATAGTAACCACATCCCTTCTTGCACAGTAGCTCTGACTGATCAACGTGAATTCCTCTGCGTTCAGATTTCAGGTTCATTTTCTTCCTGTTTACAGACAAAAAGGGTTAAAGACAGAAACATGATAACAGCCTACTAGAAATAATTTCTTTTGAAGGCTTGTCTTTAAGAAAGAAGTCACCTCTTAATTATTGAATAGTTCCACAGTAACAAAATAAAGGCCACGAGAGGAAGGGCAGAGTTATGTAACTGCACAGCCCCGAAAGCCAACTGCAGCATTAGCATATGTTTGCATAGCTTTGACCTGCAAATAGTACCAGACAGCTGGCCTGGAAAGCAGTACCAGTCATACAGCTACGTACACGTGTGGAAAAAGGCACAATTCTCTGATCTCACCAGTGCATTGTTCTAACAGTCCCAGAGGCACAAAGCAATGGAGGAAAAAAGAGATACCCAAAGTTACAGTCACCATCGAAAATGAGCAAACTGAGTAAAGGACAAAATGTAAATAGATTTGTATTCAGGCTGGGACTGTCTCTGCAAAGAATCACACTAGTAAAACTTTAGATAACGTATCTTTGGCCACGAAGAATACATCTTCACAGCACACTGAACTATCACAGCTAATTAACATGGATGAGGTGCACTTCCATTTCCTTCAGTACTCAAGTTACTTCAGAGTTAAGTTGGGCATCTGTATAAAGCACAGCTCTATCGAATTTATATATAGTGACTGCAACAAAAGGATTTATTTTCATGCCTACACCACCACCACTGTGCAGAGCCTGTCTTCCAATGATCTAGCCTTCCCCTTTCTTTTTTTTTTTTTTGCTTGACAGAAACCTGCCCACATGCCAGCTTGCTCCCAAGGGCATTTCAACTACTTTATTCTAATTCTAAATATTGGATTCATTTTAGGAGAAAAGCAGCACCGGATCACCTGCACTAGCAAATTTAAGGTCCACACATTAAAATATTGACATTTGGATTGCAATGTTGACATACACAGATACTAGAAATATCACAGCCTGGCAATGGAAAGCAGGTTTTGGTCACCAAATCCAGCCCCTTTTTCTCCCTGCCATCCTCAGCAGAGAGTGCTTTGCATAAACTGAGCAAGCACCTTAGCAATTCGGTTTCTTGCTCTCACATTCATAACCAAAGGTGTCCCTAGGACTTCCTTCCTCTAACAGGAAAATCAGAAGATTTCTAAACAAACACTACCCCACAGTTTGAAGACCCTGCCCTCCCCTCCAGCACATTACTTAAGATCACACAAGGAAAACAGAACACACATTGAGGTGCAATGTATGGAAAACAAGATGAAAAGCAATTTTCTTAAATTAAAGAATGCCAGTAAGTGCCAGAGTAATCTTATTTTTTCCCCTGAGATTCATAATCACCCCTAAGTTCATATGTTTGAGCAATCTGGATCTCTGGTTGCTCATTTTTCTGCCCACCAAAGGTTAGTCACTCTGGAAGCTCTTGCACTTGACAGTCTCAGAAAGAGCCTCAAATGCTTCTCTGGGTCATCCAGTGAAACAGATGTGATATGCACAAGCATCATTACGAAAGACAGTTTTCTGCTATCAGAAGTAACAGCTATTTTGTTCCAAGCTGAATTATATAAGAACAACCATTTTAAAAGACTGGTAACATTTAACATTTCCCATTAGTCTAAACAAGTTAGGTGAAGTAATGAGAAACACATAGGATTTTCTCTGAGGGGGGAACAAATCAAATATTCCATCTTATCTAAGTATTAAGGCTCCTTCCACTAACATCTTTTCTATCTTTGAAAGAACTAATGAGTTTCTAATAAAAAATAGTTTAATTGTAGAAGTCTATATATTAAGGGAATCTGTTTCTTAATGACATAATTTATAGACACATTGTCTCATTTATATAGACGGAAAGCAGTTGAATACTCTCTTTTCTTTCTCACAGAAATGTCTGACAGTTAAATAGACATTAATATGCTTCTGCAAAGCAAAATAAGAAAAAAAACCAACTAGATTTTAAATATTTGAGAGCTTTTTACTTCATTCCTATATGGGCAAATTAACAGAGGAAAATAAGTACATTGTCTTCACAAAAAATCTTTTGGTTTCTGTACTGTTTCACTTTCCGATTCCTCAAGTAAGGTCTCTATGCTGACTATGATGGTACACAGATCTGCTGACTGACAATCTATCTGGCAGACCAGAAATTAAACATCAAATGTTTGTCAACTACACAGCCTGGGACAGAAATTACAGTTGACAGTATTTGGAAACACAGCCCATTCTCAGAGCACCATACATGCCCTTTATCACCAATTCTGAAAAGAATGGGGAAGCAAAAGCTTCAAACTCTTCAGTTGCTCCTGTTTCAGTTTAAAAACCACTTCCTTAAACAGAACCTGCTGCAGGATTTTGATTAGAGGCTTCTATTGCAGATGCCTATACTAGAAAAAAACCACCATGCATAAAATTTGCGATATTGCAAAATGGTAAATTTGCCACGTTTGCTAATGGTAAAGATGATCAGTCAATGTTTTCACTGTAAGCTGCAGGGAGCTATAAAGACATGACAGATTAAAACATTTTCATAACACAAACTTCAGAGAAATTTTACACTGATCTCTATCGCCCAAGGAAATAAATTCCCTGATCCTATCACCCGCTACAATGGAGTAAGTTACAACAGGTTTGCAATTGCAGTCTATAGGCCAATTTCATCAATTCAGGCGTCTGTTGTTCTTATTCAAAAGCACTGTGCTTTGGACACTCAGATTTTTTGAAAAATAAAGGATAGAATGAAATACATGACTTTGCTTCTATCCCACATCAACACCTTGCTTTCTGAAAGCTTAACAGCATACTCTGTTTCTGTGCCAATTGTGCACTTTCACAATCTCTATGCAGATGCACAAAAATTAGCTTTCTGTATTCAGAGCTTTAACCACATACTGGTGCCACAATTACCTTTGGCATCCTGCTAGTGCGTTGTGTACATTAGAACTAAAAATAAAGTTCTGTTTAGTGTCAAAGTTCAGCAGCTTTCCCTGGAGTAAGCAAAGCAGGTCTCTTAATAGCAATGTTGGGTTTCTTTGAGGGTTTTTTGTTGGTTTTTTTCTTCTTTCTGGAGAGGTTTGTAAACAGCTGCAAAGCCAAGCCACTAGAAAGCAAGGTGTTCTGTTTCCTCCCCTTCAAGTATTTTTGATTGCAGTTACATCAGTTTCAGACCCAGGGACAAAAGAGGTCACCCTGAATCAATATGAACAAATCACATGCTGCACTTAAAAGCAAAGGCTTTCTGCTTCCTTCAAAGACATATGGCCATGATAAAAAAAGTTTCACAGCCAATTTTTGCAGGTCAGCATTTAAATTTTAATGAACAGAACAACTCAACAAATTTTAATAAACTGAATAAGAAAACTGGCTCAAGTCGACTTTCTGCAACTAGATCATTGTATATTTTATGATCTTTCATTCCTAAAAATGTTTTGTGGGAACTTCTGAGTATTTAAAATGCTTTTTTCCTTTCTCTATTCCCTTCTCCTCCAACTAAAGGTGTATCATTCTTTATTCAACGATCAACTCCTCAATTTATTTGCACAGTCACAGCTCTTATTTTGCATGCTCAGACCTCTTATTTTCATTCCTGCCCTGAACGCATGACCTGTTCAAAGCTCACTTCTGAGTAACATAACCCAAAAGAATGAACAAATTTGTTGTTTTCCTAGTGTTGGAGAGGCAGACAACTCTGGACAGCTTCCATACTGCCTGACCACTGAGAAGTCGGGAAAGCAATAGTAAGGAAGGTAACAAAATTCCATGTTAACAATAAAGAAATAAAAAAAAGCAAATGTAATAAAGTACCAGAAGATCATAAATCAAATTAACTAACTAGTTGAATTCGGAGAGGTACACTGCACCAAACATCTTTTTTACATCTCTTGTATCCCAATTAAAACACTTCTCAACAACTGCAAGAAACTGCGTCTCCCTCCCAGGAGCAAATGTCTGTAATTTAAAGTGCATTTGTACTCATACATTGCTTTGCTCAGAGTGCTTCAAATAGTTCTGCCGTGAATATAGTCAGGGAAACAGGTATCACACTGTCTTACACATTTCCTCACAAATACCATGATATAGAATCTTCTTTTGGGCATTTCTGTACCAGTACTAGACCTCATCAAAGGTCAGCGTCTGTGTTAATTAGCGTCATCCCTTTGAAAAGTTTAGAAAAAGAACATGTTCTTAGACTTAGTCATTAATTTATAAAATCCCTTTCCCCTTGTTACTCATTTGCAAGTAAAAGCTTCTTCCCTCCCATTTTCCTCTGAAACAGAAAAATGGAAAACACCCAACCCCTTTCTATGCTCATGATCTTTAAACTCCACCTAACACAGTGTGTGTGTGGCTCCTTAAAGGATCACTGCTAACACGTGCTGTTACATCATAGCTGCAAAAGTGGATTAATTCTGGACAATTACAACATGGAAAGCTGTCCCATTGCTGGCAATCAGTGTATTTGCACCCCCAGCTAACAGAGGACTAGACTGTATGGACACCAAAGAGCTCCTTGTCTTACTGCCACATGCATTCCTGAGCCGGTACCCGTCTGGCCTGACAGCACACTAACTCCGAGCTACAGCATCAGCTGCCCATGGCCATGTCTTTCCACACTGTTCTAGATGTCGAGCTTTATTTTCCAAACTGCAGTGATATCTAGAGCAGATGAATACTTGTGCACTGTTGGTAGATGAGGAATACGATACATATTATGTTACACATTATGTGAAGCATTGCACGTCAAAGGTCTCTAATGACAGATCAGATTTCCTTCTGTAGCTTTTTCATAAACATCTTAGAGTATTTTGTTTTGTTATGATGTCTAACATGTGAGGAAAAAACCCACTGTGGTTTAATTCAAAACTGGCTTTTTACTTGCTTTAATGCAATTCTTTCTAAAGCTCTTGAATACATGTTCCTATTGACATATTTTTCTTGTACTTAGACTCATTTATTTTTTTTCTTTTTATTCAGTAGTATTTTAAGCACCCATTTACTTAGAGCAAATACTCTTTAAAAAG